ATTACAGAGCACCCAGCATTGCCCTTTTGCACCAATTACATAAAACAATATTCATGAGCTGAACAATGAGGAGTCTAAATACCCGAGGGCACGATGGTGACAGAGTTACTCTCTCCCTGAGATGTCCACAGGCTAAACCCCAGAACCTCTGCACACATTAGGCTACATAGCCAAGGGAATTGAGGTTACTTATCAGATGGGCTTCAGAAGAGAGATTATCCTGGATTCTCTGGGCATATTCAGTGCAAATACTTTCACTAACAAAGCTAGAGAGAGAAAAGTTGGGATGATGATGCACCAACCTGACGTGGTCACCAGCTCTCAAGACAGAAGGAGCCAGGAGTCGAGGCCTGTGGTGGCCTCTAGAAGCTGGAAAAGGCACAAAAAGGAGTTTTCCCCAGTTTTCCTTCCTCCTCTGGAAGGAGCCAGCCCCAACAACACCGACTTTAGCACAGTGAGACCCATTTTGGATTTGTGACGTCCAGAACCGTAAGATAATCCATTTGTGCTGTTTTAAATCACCAAATCTGCAGGAATTTGTCACACTACGAACAAACAAATACAAGTGCCTACAAAATGAAAACTGTAGAAATGAAATGACGATAGCCTTCACACATCTACACAGTGATCTGTTTCCTATCGGGACTGAACCCTGAAGCAAGACTAGAACAAGCAATCAACAGCAAGAGTCCAGGGTGACCAAAGGGTTGAGATGGTGCTAGATCTTGGGAAAAATGGTGCACTGAAGCTCTTGAGGAAGAAGTTAAGGTATGGGCAGTTCTGGGGCAAGAGATCACATACACACACACACACAGACACACACAAAATCTCACACACACCTGTACATGAATATGCACACACAGAATCCCACATATGCACTCAAACGTGCACACACATATGCATGCACACATATAAAAAGCTGTCCAATCCAAATGGGTTTAGTGAAAGGTGTGGAGTCAGAGAGCCCAGGGTCTTAGAAGAAAGACAATCCAAAGACCTGGAGACAAATGCCATGCCTGAAGCACAGGACCCCTTCTTGTCTTAAAAACAAAAGCAGAAACAGCAAAAAAATGATCTCCTGACGCCCAGCGCCTGATATCACTGGAATTATTTCCAAAATGTGCTTCAATTTCCTGATGTGTGCATAATAAAAAAATAACACCCATGACTCACTGGTGTTAAGAGTTTACAGAAACAAGGGTATGAAGCCAAGGAGAGAAGAAAGCCTTGTCAGGACACATAAGCCACCTTCAGGAAGAAGCATCAGCCTGCGCTCAGAATCTCTGGGTCTGGCCCCAGTGTGCACAAGCTGACATCCCACCTTCCCAGCTGCCCACACCTCCGTTCCTCAGTGTTCTCGGCTTCAATGCCTACCACTCCTGCTCCATGGCAGGATGGTGCAGACGGGAGTGAGGGAGTGTCTGTACAGGTATAAACATTGTCAGTGACACACTGACTGACACACACACACACACACACACACACACACACACACAATACACACACACGTGTCTATGTCCAGGACATGAGTCCAGGGCAGCTAACTGAACCTCACCTGCCCTCCGCCACTGAACAGAGATCAGATGGCCCCTAAAATCATTAGAGTGAAAAGTTATTTTCCTATTTGTCAAAATATTCATTTTTCTATTTCTGTGGTCTGGCAGTTTTCACCAAGCTCTTTCTGCTTCCTCCCTGGAGCCACTAAGAACATGGCAGGACCACATTTCCATCCTCTCTGGAGTCGAGGGCAGCTGTGTATCAAGTTCTGGTCTGGAAAGCACACCACACAGACACAGGCACGGTCCTGTCACAGCCCGTACGCAACCCTTCATGCTGCAGGCAGAGGGCTCCGAAAGCTGAGAAGAGGGGCCATGGAGGAGGCACCCGGCGGCCTGCACTGCTCCCACTAAAAGGTGACCAGGACACCAGGCTGGGCTGTTGTGTAAGCAAGAGAGAAACACTTATTGCACGAAGTTCAGGTCACTTCTGTCAGCCTACCTCGGCTGATGCAGGTACCTTAAAGTAGGAGGCTTTGGTGAAAAGTAGAATGTTGCTTAGTGACTGATGGGGCACAGAAATTCAGGAGGGAAAATCTCAAGACTCATATTATGCAGTGACAAACAAGATGAACTGCAATAAGCTATAATAATGTTTCCTCTACTAATGTGGAAACTGACCACATGCTTACTCATCCTGTAGCCCTACAGGAAATTATTGAAAAGAGTTAAGTGTTGGCAGCATGGAACTGGACTACAGAACTGGCTGATGTGCAAGCGGAATGGACAGGAACAGAAAATGCAGAACATGGGGCCACAGCACTGGGAAAACTGAGTGCCCTGAGAGGCCGCAGGGAGGGACGAAGGACCATCAAGTGATGGCCTTTGAGCAAAGATCTGATCTAGGATGGCTGCCTTCCCACTCAAGCCTTAGTTCCACACAACCTCAGGGTATCAGCCGCCCAGGAGACCAAAAGAAAAGAGGCTTGAACAGTAGACACAAGAAAAACAACAGTGACATCACCCACACACAGAGCTAACAAGATACACACAGACCAGAGGCTGTTACGCTTCTGAGGACACGAGACAGAAGTAATATCAAGCAAAGAACAAAATAAAGGCACACGGGGCTCAGGGTTGACTGCCTGGTCCCCACCGCCATGGCTTCACAAGGGGACTATGGCAGCCCTCCAAGACAGCATCCTAACAGTCACATCAGATGAGATCATGGAGGAAAAAGACCAAGGGTAGAATCAAGGGCTTCAGAAAACAGGCCGGGAACAGTGGCTCACACCAGCAATCCCTGCACTTTGTGAGGTCAAGGCAGAAGGGTAACTTGAGCCCAGGAATTCAAGACCAGCCTGGACAACAACGAGATCCTGTCTCTACAAAAAAAAAAAAAAAAAAAAAAAAATTAGCCAGGTGTGGAGGTGCATGCCTGTAGCCCCAGCAGCTGGGGAGGCTGAGGTGGAAGAATGGTTTGAGCCACGGACATTGAAGCTGCAGTCAGGTGTGATTGTGCTACCGTACTTCAACCTGGACAACAAGTGAGATCCTGTCTCAAAGGAAAGAAAGAAAAAGAACAATGGACAAAGGAATTCCTCCTAGACAGCTGAATCAGGATCTAGTTGGGAAACTCCCCCCACGTCCACCCCAGCAAAATTTCAAAACTGCTGTAGACCAGTGTCTGCCATGTGTCTCCCTTTTCCCAAAGGGGAATGGTTACAAAAACCATGGTTACATTTCACTGCTGCATTTTGGTGAGGAGAGCAACTACATTGTCTTCTTAGTCCTGGGCCATGAGGAACCACAGCCAGGCCTGATGTAGAGAAACATGGAATCCTGGGAAATGCTCTGTGTTGCACTGGGCACCCTGACAAAGTGTCCCCCTTGGGGGATCAAGGACGAAGCAGATATTTGGAAGACAGACTAAGGCGAGCGCTGCTCCTTTTTCACTGAGCCACTTCCCTTTCCTTCTAGACACAGAACTAAATCACATTCCTTAGCTTCCCTTGCAATTAGGTGCAGCCATGTGGCTGAGTGCTAGGCCCAGAAATCCCTCCTGCACTGACTCTCTTCTTTCCCCACCCCTGGCTAAATGCAGAGAATTCAGAGGGCCGAAGGAAGAAAACCACAAGATGGAAGAGGTCTTGGCTGCAGCTGTCAGAGAACTGCCCAAAGGAATGGTTTGACTAGAAACAGCTGCATAGGAACCTGTGAGCAAGAAACATGCAACTGTTCTATTGGGGTGAATTGCTACAGCACTTAGCCTACATGCCCTAATATAAATTGTTTAACTTTTTTAAATTACAAAAGCAATACAATGCAAAACATTTAAACAATGAAGAAATAATAAAGTGTCTTATCCCTACCTCCTCTTCCTGCTGTGCCAACCCTAGGAGATAACCAATGTTATGGGATATCCCCAGGGAAATCCATGAATGCACGTGCAAACAAGAAGTCTGGGAGGACAAACTAATTTTTTTAGTGAGATTCTAATGCATCTAAGACTAGGTAAGCACTTCAAGAAAAAGCTGTGGCAAGTGACTGCTAAAGAGACCACTGTCTTCAAAGATAAGTTGGTAAACACAAGACAGTAATCCCAGATAAACTGGAAGCTGTAGTAATACTGGTACAGAGCAGTGTGTGTAAAATATAGAAAATTTAGAAATACAAAAAAAGATGAATTCTCTTTTACCCGAAAAGTACCACTGATAAAAGCCTGTGCATTTCCTTCTGGGTTTTTTATTTTCTATGTATATACGAATATTTCTAGAAAATTACTCGCTTCTGATTAGAAAAGACCGAAATTTTTCTTTTAGTGACTAAGCAAACCAGAAACTTGCCTTTTGGCTCGAGTTAGGAAAATCCAGCCTGGTAGTGACCACGCAGGGTGAGAGGCCAGTGGGGCAAAATTCAGGAGCCCTCGGGTTCCACGCTCCCGCCGTCCGAGCACAGAACGGACGGGAGGTGTGGGAGCCCGGGCATTTCTACAGCCCTCGTTCGTTCCTAAACTCCCGAATCTCTTAAAGAGGTCCGCGATCTCTTCACACACAGATGCTTTAATTAAAACAACCACCTGCGCCCTTTTCGGAACTCCACAGGCGCTCAGTTCTCAAAGAGCTGATCCTGCGCCTTCGCGCCACGGCCGCCCGGACGCTCGGGTCTAACTTGAGCCCCGAACTCCCGCGCAGACCCTCGCACCAGGCCGGCCTCAGGACCGGGCTTCGCTGACGAGACGGCGAGCAACGGCTCCGGACCAGAGCGCGCGTCCCCGCCGTTGGGAGCGGCCACGGCGGAAACCTCACATCGCCCCCTGTCAGAGAGAGCTCAGTGGAGCCCCTGGGCTCCAACCCTGCAGCCTCGGCACGCGCCCCAGAGGAACAGCTCGGGTTCCTCCCAGACTCCGCGCAGGGAGGACCGCCGCAACCAGCTCACAGGAAAGCAAGCAGAAGCCCGACGCGCCGCGCCGCGCCCCACTCGCGGGCGGCTACGGTTACTAACCCGCGACTCCTCGCGCCCACGCCCCCTTCGCTATCTCGCGACAGCTGGCGAGGTCTCGCTTCCGGCCGGCTTACTTCCGGGCCTAGCGTGACTTCCGCCTCCTCCGGTGAGGCTCCTGCCTCACGTCCTGATGGTCGCAGCGCGGCGCTCTTCGTGCACCGGGGTGAGTCCGAGGGCGCCGCAGCAGCCCTGCTCCTGCCCCTGGTGGGTGCCGCGCTGCGGGGGAGGGGCCAGCCCCTCCTCTTCTCCCGGGGCCTCAAACGGGTGGGAAGGGACAGTCCCCGCGGCAGACCAGGCGCCTGAACGCGCCGTGGCCTCGCAGGCGCGCGGCAGGGACGGGCTCCGGTGTTGAGCGCCTCCCGTGTCCCCACCAGCGCCGACCCACGCTCGGGCCCCAGAGCCGAGCCGCCAGCCATGGCCGCTCCCCGCGGGAGGGCCGCACCCTGGACGACCGCCCTGCTGCTGCTCCTGGCCTCGCAGGTCCTATCCCCGGGGAGCTGCGCGGACGAGGAGGAGGTCCCGGAGGAGTGGGTGCTTCTGCACGTCGTCCAGGGCCAGATAGGCGCGGGGAACTACAGCTACCTGCGGCTGAACCACGAGGGCAAGATCGTCCTCAGGATGCGCAGCCTCAAGGGCGACGCGGACCTCTACGTCTCCGCCAGCAGCCTGCACCCCAGCTTCGACGACTACGAGCTGCAGTCGGCCACCTGCGGCCCGGACGCCGTGTCGATCCCCGCGCACTTCCGGCGCCCAGTGGGCATCGGCGTCTACGGACACCCGTCCCACCTGGAGAGCGAGTTCGAGATGAAGGTGTACTATGACGGCACGGTCGAGCAGCACCCGTTCGACGAGGCCGCCTACCCCGCTGACGGCGCAGATGCCGGCCAGAAGCACGCTCGTGCGCCAGAAGATGCCTCGCAAGAGGAGGAATCTGTTCTCTGGACGATATTAATTAGCATTTTGAAGCTAGTACTTGAAATTCTCTTTTGAGTTCTTAACCACGCCCTGGAGTATAAAATCCTCCATCTGTGAAGCTGATTGCAGTTTGCTGTGAACCTTGCTACTTGTACTTGAAGTTGTAGTTACCTTTTTCTAGTCAAGGGATGGAAAAATAAAGCCATACGCATTTTGTTACCTCAGTTACCCCCAAAATAGGAAAAGCAGCAAGCACAGTATTTGTTTTCTTTTAAAGATCAAAATTCCTATATTAAAAAAAGGACCGTGTACCATAAAAAGTTGACTCTATTTTCATTAGGTTGACTAAAAATGATGATTGCCGTCACTTAGGTTTATATAAATCGAAGTAGAGCAACCTTTCATGCTGTTACACAGATGAGATTAAAAAGTTGGTAACTTTATAATTTTACTCTGGAGATTGTAAGCGAGTTCAAGGTGTTAACAGTTACTAAAATCACTGGAAATGATTTATGTACACTTCCCTGAGCCTGGACTAAAGCCCCCATGCCTGTACCCGAAGTATGGATGGTACTTTTCTATACAAAAGGGATTTCCTGGCCGGCAGGTATTTACAAACTTTGTTCCTGTACCAGTCCAAGTAATGACAACTCTAAATCAAGCTGCACCAGATCTTATTAGGCCATTTGTCAATTTTGGGCTATGAATGAAAATTCTTTAGTTATTAAATAACTTTGTTAATGCTACCTATGGTAGGCCAGAAACCATGTAGATTAGGAAGTTTCATAAAAATAACTTTTTGGACTATGGAGAAATAGTTAAGTTCCTAAATATTTCCACTGAATTTTTGGAGTGAGCTAATGTTACTATAAAATACTTCAGAAGATGAATTCTCTACCTGGAATCAGTTTCAAGCATAAGAGTTGCTTTTAACAGAAATAAATCAAATGCAGATTTTAAGCTCAGTTAATTTCCAAAAAAAAAAAAAAAAGTTTTATTAGCATAAAAATGAAAATGTTGTAAATAAATTGGCACCAAATTCTCCACTTAAATGCATATACAATATTAGGGTCAAAAACTATTTTAGCCCTCTTTGCTGTTTTTCCCCCTTCTGCCCACTTTCTTGGGTGTTGAGGGGGCCCGCTGACAACAGTCACAAATCCAGCGACCTAGGAAAAAAATTGTTAGTTAATACAGAATGAAAAGTAATTTTTATGGGACTGATTTTTAAGCCTATTTTAACTCTTATTCCTTAGCTATCACTAATGAGATTCCTCTGTGGATTTTGTGGTGAGAAGGACACTGAGTTCCTTAATTTAAGGAGAAAAACGTAAACTTAATGTAATCAATGCTGTGCAAAATTCATTCCAAGTCAAGGGGAATGGGAGAGATGCAATGCCATACAGTGATATGGACCTTTAAAAAATAAAAAATCTTTCCTGAAATTTTAACACTATCATACTTCAGAAGTTCAATACAAACAATGCAAAACCCATTCTGGAATTTGGCTTTTTTAAGCCATTTTCTCTCCTGTTTACTGGCAGCTGTGTGTCTCAGCATTCTTTCAAGTCCTGGTGTACTATGCTGGCAGCACTTTAAAACTTCAAGTTTCTAAGAGCACAGTCGTAAATTGTACTACGTACTTGATCTGAATTACTACAGAACCTTAAATACGTTGCTTGCTTAATGATTCCCAGGAAACTTCATTGTAGGCATATATTTTATAGAGCATTATACAGTGTTAACACTATGCAAGTAAGTTCTAAAATTACACAATTATCTGTGTAATATTTTAGTCCAATTACTGTGATTTATTCAATTCTCTTTGTTGTAAAGTTATCTGGAACTGTCATGCTGCCCTGATTTATATAAATCTATAGTAGACTTTCTATAGAAATATGTAAAGATGTAGCAGTCATTTTATTAAGTTTCTAAATAGATAACATAAAAATAAAGGCTTTGAAACAAGATGATGCTCTGTTACTTTAGTATTTCAGTAAAAAAAACACCAGCTCATTCTATGTATAGAACTATACTTCCAAAACTTAGCCTGGGCATTCTGGCCTCTCATTTATCCTTTAGTTGGGTTGTCTAAGGATGAAAAGCTGGTGGACATGACCTGTAAAATCACAGCTTTGGTCATGTTTGCACATAGGAGTCCACAAGCTCTTCAGGTCATGATAGGCTTTATGCACCCTTAAGAAAGGAGTGCCAGGAGAGTCTCATCACCAAAAGATAACGTTTGTTCTTTTTAAAATCTTTACCTGATGGAATAGCACCAAGGCCCACACAAAAAGTATGATAACCTCTGTCACACACATCACAGAACATCATTTCTTCTTCATGGTGGGGCTGTCCGCATATAATGCATGTTTTGCATTCCATACACTGCCATGGGTACGTCTTAATCATAGAAACAAGCTCCATTGTCATATCCAGGCAAGAAGGATGGCCTAAATCAAAACCAGTATTAGTAGTATCTCACATAAGAATTTTTAAGTTAATATGGCATATAAAATACTAGTTTTCTTTAGGACTTCCAGAGAATGGCTATAATGTTAAATCACCAAAGAGAAATGAAAGTACAATGTAGAAGAAGACACATGAACTGCATCTATGCTTCACAAGGTACCCTGCTTATTTGATAACATCTGGTTGAAATCTACCTGAAACTATAAATTACAGTTTTCGAACCAACAAACATGGTGGTTAAGATTTTAAAAAGATATTTAAATACTTACCACTATTCTCACATTGGGAGCAGTGTATAAGTGATTCAGCCTTTCCTTTCTTGTTGGACTCCTTACCCTTCAGACAAATTCCACATATAGCATTTGGAATGACCTTTGGCTGGAAGGGTAGAAGAGGGCTATAAATTCATGCCAGAAGAGCTTACTAAGGGTTCAAAAGGAATTGTTACTTTATTGCCCTATTTTTACTTTTGGTAACTTGCTAATTAGCGAGGACCATTTTTTGAAAGACAAAGCTTGACAGGAGTCTGTCTGCAACGTAAGACTGCCTACTGAAGAAAGCATTAATTTCATTGTAAAATTTTGTAAACAGCATGATCTCTCATATTAAATGTAGCATTCTATACTCCCTACATGCACAGTAAGATCTGTTTAAGGACAGAAGGATAGACTTAAATACAATGTAAAATGTCACTTAATTGGACAAGAATATCCAATTACCGATAAATTTAAGACTTAACTCTAAAGAGAAAACCATTTTAAATAGCTTATATATTGTTTAAAAACTGGTATTTTCCAAAGCTGTAAAACTGAATCTATAAAATCTAAGTTAAAAAATCAGCTTATCCTCTTTGGCATCATGGTATTTTTTTAAAAATCACTTTAAACATTTTTAATTGAAAGATGTCTCATGCATACATTGCCATGTACATAAATGTTTGTGGAAAACTTAGTTGTGTGATTATTCTCTTTGTATATCTAATAAAAGAATCCATACTTAAAAGGATTCACTATAAAATGTAAAATTATAAAAGGGAAAAGTTTTCAGACAAGCAAAAAAAAAATTGCAGTCACTTAAAAAATTAAACATTCTGAGTACTACTCATCTTTCAGATTAAAAACATGCATGGTCCAGTGAAGGTGTTTGGGTTTTAGACATTTGGCAACACATGGAAATGACAAAGGAAAAAGGGTTCACTGCACTTAAAATTACCAGGGAAGAGAGGACATCCGAACGTCACAGCCTTGACTGTTACGAATGACGTTCACTCATGCTATAGGAGTAAGTAAATAACAGTGGTAAAACAGGAAAAGCAAACATGGGCCAAGAATAAAATGGGAGAAAGGGGCAGGCATACACACATACATACACACACACACACACACACACACACACACACACACACACGAACTGGGAAAATAAATATTTTAACTGTTTCATTGCTGTTTTATTCCCACTCTGCCAAATGCATCCCTTTCCTAATTTACTGAACCAAAGAAGAACCTAAACAAAACTCAAACTTTGTATATATTCCAGCTTTGAAATGTCTCACTGCCACCTTCATTACCTGTTAGGCCTAAACAATTTTTTCTTAATTCTTTTAAGTTTTGTACTTTTTAGATTATCTTTCTTTGCAAAAGATGACAGAGGCATTCAAAAAGAATTTTTGGCTTATTTATTTAAAAAAAAGTCAACCTTATACATAAATATAATAAAAACAAGAACTCTAAACAATCACAAATGTCTCTACAAAATAATAAATATCATGGAAGTTAAACATACACATATAAAACTTTACTATTAAACTAATCTCCTGTATGTATATTTTTATACCCTGCTCCCCCCAACAAAAGGATAGTGTCACATGCTTAAACCATTTAAGTCTTGCAGTGTAGTTACCCTCTGTTGTTACTGCTACATTCTAAGCATAAGGTTCTCATTGTGTGTTCCTATACCTAAATAATAAACAGCTAGGAAGTGCACTTCTATAATCCAAATTCTGGTTCAATTATGATAATATCTCTACCTGCCATAATATACAGCAGAATGGTATCTCTTCATCAAAACTAAGAAATCTTTTTTTGGTTATGGTACCTGTACTAAATGTAAAAGATATACTTATTTAATACTCAGTTTAAGTTAGATACTGGCATATTTAAGTACTCTAGTATCTTCCACTAAAGTCAGGGAAATAACCAAACAATATTAAATTCTAAAAACAGAACCCCTCATAGGAGATTCTTTACAAAACAAAAGCCAAAAGTAATAAAACACAAGGATAGTCATTCACATTCTAGAGCAATTCAAGTTCTACAATCATTAAAATATACATTAAACACCTATGACAAATGGGACACCAAAAAATTCTAGGTTTATTTCTAAGTTTAAATCATAATGCTTTGTTAAATCACTTAGTTTTTCTTACCCAACAGTCTTCATCTGGGTGAAAAGAGGAAAAGATGAGAGAAGGGGAAGAGAGAAGCTTTGTAGCATTTTCTATGATGAATGCTGCAGCTCAATATACAAAGTATCTGCCCTCCCTAAGAAGCCATAGTGCTGCCATCCAGGGCTTTACACAGAAGATAACAACCGTGGCTTAGAGAAGCCAGTTGCAGTAAATTGCACAGTTGGAGGGGTTAAGGGAACAATGTGCAGCCCTCTCCTGAAGGCCAATGGAACACAGCCCTATGTGTGTCTGGTTAAGACGATCAGTTCTACTTCAAATAAATGCAACATCATCAGAGTTTCACTACTGACAAGAAAATTAAAATACTCATCCTAATAGCTCTCAGTATCTCAAAGGGCTCACAGTACACTTACTTTTCTACTTGAAAAACAGCCAAAGATAAGACTATCATGGTAGCAATAATATAGATTTTAATTATATACTTATAGGCCTGAATCCTAACAATTATGCTTTAAATTTCAGGTTAATGTAACCTAAACAATACTGTCCTACAAATTAAGGGCAAGCACTAGTGAAACTTATTAAGCAAAACATCAGATACATTATTCTTTTTCTTGAATCTCATATTTTACATATATAAAATATGACCTTTAGCTTGAAGTACCCTAATATTTAGGCACATCTGGCTTATTAATACTTTTTATAAAGAGGTTAACTTTTAATAAGCATGTTCACATTAATGTATGACTAGATACTGGTTGTTTCCATCTTTGATATCAACCTGAAACATTTTTAGGTATTAAAAATGTGCACAGATTATGTAAAATATAAATTTTGCATATCCAACTTGAGTACTATTAAGTTCAGTTAATCTATATGATTTCTTGTATACTAAATCAATGATAGTGTTAAATAGTTCTTCATTTCCAGCCTGTATTAAAACAACTATTTCAATATTCTCTCTTTTCAACCCATGATCAATCAAGCTTATTGTCTTAAAGATCTACTTAGCACTCAAGAGTTATTAACACGATGGTGTGCTTTGAGTGGCCACTTCCATTTAAAGCTCTTAGCAGACCAATAGAACACACTCATTCATGGAGGCTGTTTCTGAAATTTCATCTTTGGAGCTCACTTGCTTTCAGTTATTAAGCATTAACTTACATATTTAAAGAAATTAGATAAGCTATATATGTAAAAACAAGTGCAAAAATCACATAGCTGCAGCCTATTGCAGACACCTTGGAAGTCAACCCTTGCTGAATTAAGCTTAAAATTTGCTTGCCATAGGCTAAAAAAAAAAAAAAATGAATTTTTAAGTTAATTACATAAAAGAATTTTCTAATAAAATATGAAATACATGAATTTAATAGGTCACTTTTTTTTTCTACTTGAAGAAAGGTGAATGAACATGTTAGAGAGTGTTCTAGTTAGTTTGAGGAAAAGCTGAGTTACTTCAGCCTGTTCTTGTGGATTATTTACCACAATCACAGTTCTGACATACAAGGTGTTTAATAATTTCACTCGGCAAAACTTTCTCATTGCCTTACTCTAAAATTTTCCTTCAATACACCTTCCTAAGTGCAATAAAAAGCATGTTCTAAAACATTTCAGACCAAAAGAATCAAAAGGTAATATATTTTACTACCACCATCCCACACGTAAAACTGTACATCTAATTCTTTCTTTTACGATATTCTTAAATACCTATATGCAAATAAGTCTGCTCACCTCTCACCTCACTTTTCATCAAAAGAAAAGAGAGAGGGGCAGAAAGAGGGAGGAAAAGTTCAAAATAGTAATAATAGCTGCTGACAACCTACTACTTTACTCTGAGGATAATCGGACCAACAAGTTAACAGGTATGTTTTAATTCTTGTCATGGAATCATATAACTCTTTACCAAGGTTATGCTAAAAATCACTACAATGTAAATAACAGGTTTTATTATTTTTTATCCCAGAGTTAGCTAAATTTAGCAGATGGATCAAATAATCCTTAGATTAAACCCAGATCTTTCTTAATGAAAGGCACTACAAAAATGCAACTTCATCTAACAGTATATCCACTCATACTTCATAGCTCAGCAGGTTTAGCTACACTAAATGCTGGGGCACTTCAAATGCCAAATAATTACGATCTTTACTCCAAGGAAATAAAGTATAAACTTCTGCCTATGAAATAATGTTTTAAAAACCCATACTTGCTTGGTTATTATTTCAAAAAAAAAAAAAGACTTATAAATTGTACATATACAGAAAACAGAAGCTAAACCATAGCCAAAAGTGACAGAAAAGCCACCAAGGAAATAAAGCAAAAAAGAAAGCAGTGGACAGAGGGCACACCATAGAAGAACAGCTAATGAAGTACAGCAGGCAGAAGCTCCACAATCGTGAAAGTCAAGTTAAAATATTTCAGGGAGAGAGGCTGGTCAGTAAAGAGGCTCAGTCAGGGGCTTTTTTCTTCTACCTTGTACCCAGGAACTGACTTGGACAGTACAGAACGTTTGGGACCATCTTTTCTTGGAGTGGCAGCTTTGTCTTTTGATTTCTGTCTTCCCTGGAAAGAGTCCTCCTGGCTGTCAGGAGGGCTTTCCCCTTCAGATACATTGCCAGAGGAGCTGTCCTGGAGTTTAAAAGGCAAAAAACAAAGATTCTTTGGAATTAAGACAAATTTGAGTCTGAATTTTGAAAACTATGGAAAATACTCAAAAAAACGCTTTAAGGCTTTATCAATTTAAAAATAAAAAAAACATTCTAAATAAAAGAAAGCTTTTTCCAGTGAAAACTTAAGTAAGCCATGTTAAAAATCATCCATCCTTCTAAGTATAACATCATATAAAACTGATTTCACATATATCAGTGCCTTCATCATTTTGTTTTCTAAGTCACAAAAAACGAATTATCTGCTTTAGCTATTATTACGCCACACAGCTTCAACATCATTTTCCATGTCACAAGGGAGCATATTTGTTTCATACAAAAACACATTGTTAAAAATAAGTGTGGGTATTTTCACTGAGTACTAAAAATCATAAGAAGGTACTTCAGGAAAAATAAAGGGCTATAACTAAAAAAAAAAAAAAAGTCCTTCTAAGCACACATTTGTGTTTCCATGTTAAACTATGCAGAGCCAATCCCTCAACTATCTACAACAGCATCTGAAATATTTTTTTTTTTACGTATTCAAGATTTAAGACCTCAATATCTGACTATTTAATCCTTCATTTTATAATTTAAAATTTTCTAATTAGAACTTTCATATGAATTATGAAAATTATAAATGAAAAAATTAAGTTATCTAGAACCTCCCTGATAAACATACACTGACTAGATACATGAGTTTATCTACTTTATCTTTTTTATGGGTGTCCTTTATATAAATAAAGATACCAAGACTCACACATACCCACTACCTCACTGTGCCCTCATTTTTTAAAACACAAAACTGGATTACAATGTGTGTGTATGCATGTATGTGTTTTGGTATTTTTTTAAAGGCATTATGGGCATTTTCTCACAATCATTAAATATTCTTTGAACTGCATTTCTATACTATAAAAACAATATAATATTGCCCACTGCAGGCATTAAAATTTATTTGTAATTTCCAGCATAAAAATTACTGTAAACACTCAAACAGACCTTTTTATTTCTAATTAAATTTTTTCAGCATCTAAGTCCTAAGGATAAATTATATTAGTGGATTTGCTAGGTCAAATTCTGTGGAACTTAAATTGGTAAGACTGTCAAAATGCTTTCCCATAATGTTGGATTAGTTTACACTTTTCCTAGTGGTATGAAAGGAAGTCAGCTTCATCACCCTTAGTATGCCATAGCTCCCGTTTTAGCAACATGACAAGAGAAAATTTATATCACCACTTTAATATGTGAATGGCATCTTATTCTGCATAACATGTATTACTAAAGATGTTTTAGAAGCTGTTGCTGACAAGGAAATATAATGTCCATTCAATCTCACATTTAGGTTGGCTACAATGAAAAGTTTAAAATAGCCGGTTACTTAAAACACAGTACTAGAGAAATTCAAAGCCCTGCGGCATCACTGGGATCAAAATCCTAGACTCATCATTGAAATTTTGTTCTCCTTTAGGTCCACAGAATACACAGCTGCCCACTGTCTTGCAACTGCATTTTGCTACCAAAAAAAAGTCATACAGCAAAACCCAACAAATTGCACAATATGTTACTAACATAATATTTTCCCATAGGAAGCCTAAGATTAAGCAAAAG